AGAGAGAGAGAGAGAGAGAGAGAGAGAGAGAGAGAGAGAGAGAGAGAGAGAGAGCACTAGGGCAGGTAGATCCAGTAATGCAGGTAGGTTGTGTAGTTAGGTCAGGTAGGCTCTGTAGTGAAGGTATGTCCATCGTAAAGTGCAGGTAGGTCGTGAAGGGCAGTACTGGCTTACAGGTATCTAAGCCGTTCCTGTGAACAAACAGTCTGCATCACAGGCCGATGATTAGAAGTTCTGATTGGCCCGCTATCCATGCCGGCAGGTCTCCCGAAAGGCCGGATCACCCTCTGATCATAATTTTTTCTCATCATCACGCGATCTGTGCCGCCCGTGATGGTGGTCGGCCTGCAATCCAGGCCATTCCTTATGACGATTAGCAGTTTGTAATACTTTCTATAGCCTGCAATCCAGGCCATTCCTTATGACGTTTAGCAGTTTGTAATACTTTGTATAGTATTGTAGATGTAGAAGAATCGACTGAGTTTGCGGAAACAGAGCTCGTTTGCCTGCCTCAAGCACCGTGGAGGCACCACGGGCGGACCACCAAGGGGTACCCGCATCGACCGTTCTCAATGGCATGAGCAAAGAATTGGCAATGAATCAGCAACCGTCTTTTTTTTTTTTTAAATCATGCTACTGTTTTGAATCCACCTTTGGTTGGTTTTGCACCAATGCAAAAACAGACCTTTGGTCTGCTCTGAAGGATTTCCCTCCAGGTTCCTCGGTTTCGTTAAATTTCGCTTCAGCTTACCACCACATTCAGCTCTCACTCAGACTCTGTAAACATCAAGGCGTCCGTGGACCAACCAATCAGAGAATTCAGACCTTTTCTCTTGAACTTGCGGGTCATACCTTTTGAGTTGCGTCAAATGCGGTGCATATATATATCGTCAAACAGAGCTGCCCAGTAAACCGTAGGCAGAGAGGGAGAAGAGAACAACAAAATAGGGGCTGTGACAAACTGTTTTGTCGGAGTTTCACCTACCGACTATATATCACATCGGGAAAAGAGGGTTGTTAGGGTAGTTGTCTTCAAACTTCAAACAAAAAAGGGGAGAGAGAGAGAGAGAGAGAGAGAGAGAGAGAGAGAGAGAGAGAGAGAGAGAGAGAGAGAGAGAGAGGTATTGTCTGTTGTTGGTGAAAATGTGTGGATCCAGCCTCTGCATGAATCCCCTTGAAAAAAAAGGCTTTGCCGCAATTAGTCAGTAAATCAATGAAAGAGGATTGGCGGCATAATCATTGGAATTGTTCAATGAAGCTACATGCCTGCCTGTCTGCCTGCCTGCCTGCCTGCCTGCCTGCCTGCCTGATACAGTGCCATAAGGATTAAGGCTAGAAGCTCAGAACGTAAGGGCAAGAAAAAACTCCGCAGAAGTAATTGAAGGGCAACACAGAAGGAGAAATGCCATATGATCCCTCCCAAGTTAGCTACAGTCCCATTGAAAAAAAAAAGGGAAAAAAAAATGGGGATTATTAGGCTGAAGGCTTAACCTCAATCAGGTTTGACATGTGTGGTAGACAAAAAAATAACATGAGCGTATGCCACAGAGTGTGGGCGGAAAAAGAAGACGTCGATTTCGCATTGACATGAACATTGTAAAAGTTACTAAAAATCTTTCGACTGCACACCGGGATGGAGTATACTATAAAAGATAATAACATATCCAGGCCCAGTAGTGGTCCCCACCACCATTCGAAGATAGAAACTTTTCGACCTCATTAGCATACTTGTTTACACAGTCAGCAGACAGGGAGGAGCCTGATTCGATAGACTTGAACAGCGCAGTGGTGGTCCCCACCACCACTCAAAAGAGCGCATCGCATCATGCTTGAGAAGTACGAAACCATTGGCGCTCCATCGGGTGAGACTAACTGCTTGTAACAGTAGCCTAAAAAAACAGTTAAAAAAAAAATAAATTTGCAGCCAATTGCTGCTACGCTGTCGTCAGAACAAGCCACCTGTCAAAACCCCAGGGCATGAGCCTCGCCCCCCCCCCCCTCCTCCAGCCCCCTGCTAGCTACTCTTGCAAAAACCCATAGAATTAATTAATAATTACAACCATCACCGCTACTCTTCGTAGTCGATCCACCACCACTTCTAACTATAACACTTACACTCACTGGCCTGATAACACTGGGCATCAATTGCCGGGCTACTTTACTGTGCTTAGTCTCTTGTAGACCCTCGTCGCGGGTGCGTCAACCACCTGCACCTCTCCATGCCCTTTGTCAAGCAAACTGTGTCCTTGTCAACAGAGTTTCTACTATGCTATGCTGCCTGCTCCTGAATCTGGCTCTGCGACTTGACCAGAAACGCAAATTCAACCTACATAGGTACAAAGTAATGCAAACAAATCAATTGATGAAATGAAAGGCAAAAAAAAAAACAAAGAAATAAGAAAACAGCTGGCAAAACCAACAGATCATGGTGATGATCGCATTGGTCGCCGGTCCGTATCATCCGGTCATCTGTTCCACCCCTCCCTTCTGTCAATAGTCAGCAGCGAAGTACGGCATCTAATACGTAAATATATGATCTGCAATAGTCGCTCGGTTTGACCGGACATGCTTTTCCACGCGCATCTTGGTGTAACGTAACACAACCCATGTTTGCTCGGTTTCACCGTGACACACATTTCGGTGTAATGCAACACAACCCATGGGTGCTCAGTTTCGCCGCAAGTGCTTTTCAACTTTCAACGCGCATTTCGGTGTAACATAACACAATCCGTGGGTGTTCGGTTTCACCGCAAGTGCATTTCGGCATAAGGTAACACAACCCATGGGTGCTCGGTTTCACCAAAAGTGCTTTTCAAAGCACATTTTGGCGTAACGTAACACAACCCGTGGGTGCTCGGTTTCAACGGAAGTGCTTTTCCACGAGCATCGGCGTAATGTAATATAACCCGTAGGTGCCCGGTTTGACAGAGCGTTCTTCCACAATGCATTTCGGCGACGTTACCCTGGGTTGATTCACTCCTCGAGTACAGACAGGAAGGACACAGGACGCCCGTAGAAGCCAAAACCGCAGCAGTTGGAACCGGACAAGTTGGTGACGATACGTACACGACATAACTTTGTTTGTGCTTCATGCGCTTTATCCATACCCGTGTGATTTATCCGCATCACGTCCAGCTGTGCCGTCGAGAGATCCATCAATATAGTGTACCGATGTGCCCGTCGCCGACAACCTGACGGTTGTCGCTCCTCATTTCGTACAATTCTGCCACATCGGGAGGAAGAGCCTTCACATAGAACAATAAGTAGTCAAAAATATAGAAAGATGAAGTTGCTGCTCGAGAGTCGAAACACTTCTGCTAAGTTCTGTATAGTACTGCTGGAGGGAAACCGGCCCAGCCAAAACTGAGGCTTGAGCAGAAAGGCATGCTCATACGGCCAGAGCGCAAGGGCAACCCCCCCTTCCCTCCATTCCAAAAAAAAAAAAAACGAAAAAGAAACAGCAACCTCCCTTTTCACTTATCACATGATTTATTCTATAAAAAAATCAACTTTTGGGCATTATCCGGGACGATGAAAATCCGGCCAACAATCGAGGGCAGCAAAGGAACTGACCAGAAGAACAAGACGCAACCTACCCGGCAATCGTGTGTGGAGGAAATGAATCTGTGCTGCGGAAAACCTGCCTGCTTGATGGATTCAATGAATCTTAATAGCATCAATATGTGGATCCAACAATGACTTTGTTGAGAAAGGGGGGGGCGAATCCAAAATAGAAAGCAAAAAAAAAAAAAAAAAAAACTTTTAAAAAAAGAGGAAAGGGAAAAATAGAGGAAGGGTAAAGATCGAACAAACGTAAAGAAAGGGGGGGTAAATAGAAGGCCTGCCTTTCTTCACATGGCTGGAGCAGGACTGCCTGTTGAAGGAGTGGAAACTCCTACCCCTCCCCCTCCCCCTCCCCCTCCCCCTCCCACCCTTGAGACATTCCCCTGTGGCCTTACACCCAAGTAACTTGCGGTTGAATTCAAAAGCATATGGCTGAATGGTGGGACGACATCACCCGTCCACGATGTGCTGGTGGCCAGCGTCACAAAACCGCGGCGTAATCCGGGGAGCACATTTCGCCATATCTCTTTCCCCGAGAGAGGGTCCAGTGCAAAGACACGCCCGCCGCAGCCCACAAAGAGCTTCCCGCCCTCCAGAAGAGTGTTGACGACACCATAGCCTGTCCAGGGAAGACTATAGCTCCACACAGTCTTGCCGTCATTGGTGACATCAATGGCCGCGACATGTCCGTATGTGCCAACGAAGACAAGATCCGAGAGGCCAGGGAGAGTGCTGCCGACACCTGAGCCGTCCTCCTTGATAGTGGGCGGCGTGGACAGGGCCGATGCGGCGGTGGAGATTGCAGTTAGGGGGCGTTGCATTATCACATCATCAGAGAAAGAGTGTCTCGATCCGTAGTACGCCGGACGTCCATACTCTCGTCCAGAGGCAACGCCGACAGAAAGCCCCGACCTACTCGGACATGGCTGATTTGGCATGTGGATGGCGATGTCCCCATAGCCAAGCTTGGGGAGTCGGTTCCTCCATATCTCCTGGCCCACATTCATGCTCAAGGCGATGATCTTCCCATGGCAGCCACAGATGAGCAGGCTCTCCGTCTCCACCGGGAACAGCGACACAACATACCGTCTTCTCCAACCCGTGTTCCGAAGCTTTACCTTCCACACCGTTTCTCCTATCTCTCTATCCAGTGCCAACACGTGTCCATGAGATGCAACAAATAGGTAATCTGATATTGACTTGGCCATCCGCTTTTTCACTCCCACCCAGCCAGCTTCTGTTCTGCTCCTCTCCTCTTACTTTGTTTTGCTCTTCTCAGCTATTGTGTCGCTGTCCAAGATTATGAGAGCTCACCACCTGGCAGCAGCAAAGCAAAACCAAAATCAGCACAGACACAGAGAGAGAGAGAGAGAGAGAGAGAGAGAGAGAGAGAGAGAG